TGGTGGCGGCGGCGGCGGTGGTGTGAAGGTGGTGGTGTGGTGGCGGTGGTATGTAATGGTGGTGGCGGCGGCGATGGTGGCGGTGGTATGGTGGTGGTGGTGGTGGCAGCGGTGGTGGTGGTGGTGGTAGTGGTTGCGGTGTTGGTGGTGGTAGTGGTGGTGGTGTGATGGTGGCGGGGGTATAGTGGTGGTGGCGGCGACAATAGTGTTGATGATGTTGGTGGTGGTGTGATGTTGGTGTAAAAGTTGGAAAATGACTTCCCCCCCCCCCCCCCAAAAAAAAAGGAAAGTCATTTTCCTCCAAAACAAGCATATTTTCCAAAGTCAACGAAAAATGATTTCCGTTGACTTAATTTTCCAGGCACATCCAAACACTGGAAACTTGAAAAATGATTTCCAGAACTCATTTTCCAGGTTTCCAAACACACCCTAAGTACAAAAGAACTATGGAATCACCGATTTAGAACCAAGTAAATAACTTGCATGACAACATATATAATTACTTACTCTTTTATCCTGTAGAGCATGGAATTAAAAGGCATAATGTGTTGGAAAAAATAGCTCAAAATGGCATATTAAATGGTTATTTTGTGGTACAATTATCAGTGGGGTCCATTTTTGATTGGATCGGGTCAAAGTGGATTCAGGTTCTTCGTAGTGAGACGAAGAGATTGATATATTGTAAGCCTAAGCTCGTGTGCGCTTGTCTGTTTGCTCTAGTTTCGTCGGATTCTCTTCATCCTTTCCTTCCCTTTTTCTACAGAAAATAATAATCCTTATTTTGTAGGATTATTATTCGTTTTACCAACGGTTATCCAACAATCTTAAAACCTTACTTCCTTCATTTTCCTGTTGGGTTTTTGTCTCTAATTTCCTTAAGAAATGGAGAACCCCAGACTGCCAAATCAAGGGGAGGAAAATGTTGTTGCGGGCAACAATTGTGGGAACGGCAACAATGTTACGAATTCCCTGCAGGCACCACCAGTGAACGTAGGTTCACAAGATGGTAGGAGCACTGAGAGATACATTCCCATGACTCGAGTACCTTCGGTACCGAGCGGATCGGCTGAGAAGCCGGAGAAGTTCACCGGTGTCGGATCAAACTTCAAGAGGTGACAACAAAAGATGCATGTTGTTCTACCTAGCAACTCTCGGCTTGGCAAGGTTCTTGACCAAAAAGGTTCCTGAATTGAAGGAACAAGATGCTCAATCTGTGAGCTAGGGCGGTTGGCTATTGGAAGGATTCGGACTTCCTTTGCCGAAACTACATCCTAAACAGATTATTATTATTATTATTATTATTATTATTATTATTATTATTATTATTCAAAGAAAAACAATAACAGCATTACCCAATTTCAACGACTTCTTTATTTTCATTATTATTAACAAAATAATTTTCAAAATATAAGTTATTTATCTATTTCATACATACAACCATTTATATACAAAATGGTAAGTTCTAATTAAAACTAAATACAAAATTAAAATAAATTAATATTAAAATCGAACTAAATAATATATATAAATATACTTATCATTTACATAAACACTAGTACGGTTCAAAGACATCGCGTTTTATAAGACAACCAGTAAAGTAAATATATCTTTGCAAGGTAAGGTTAGAACTGGAAAATAATAAAAGAAAAATATGAATAGACAAAAGTGTCCTTACTAAAAATAAGAAAAGTCATGAGAACGACTATATGTGTACAAAAAATAATAGTCTGGATGTTAAATGGCAAAAACGATAGTCTACAACTAAATTTAGAAATGTCACAAAAAGACAAGGGACCTCTAGTGGAATTAACTCTTATATAAAATAACAATTTTAGTACTTCAATTGCTGATGCGAATATTATTGACTTTTAAAATTTTTTTTTTATAAGATAGTGATTTTGGTTCTTCACCTACAAAGATTGATGTGAATGGTAATTGGAATTAAATACTTGGTAATGGTAATGTGTTTAAGTGGAAGAATTATTTATGTTTGATAGTAGATATGTATTATAATCCAAAGAAAGAAAGAAAGAAATAATTAATTAAAATAAAAATAAATATGTATATAAAATATACATGGCAAAATGCATTTTTAGTTGCTAAATTATATTGTTCCTTGCTAGCTGTTTTAGTCTCTAATTTTTTTACTATTGCAATATACTTCCTAACTCTTCAAAAAGTTACAATTTTAATCTATGGATGAACAAAATTATTGAACTCTTACAGCATGTTTGGTTCACGGAATGAATTAGGAGGGAATAGGAATGTTATTACACAGGGAATGGAATAGGTAACGAATAGAATAAGAATTGTATTCTGTTGTTTGGTTGGCTGAAGGAATAGACTTGAGTAATTGTATTCCAGTGTTTGGTTGGTTAAATGAATAGAAATGGAATAGGTTTTAAAGACATAAATACCCTTATACATAATAATAATAATAATAATAATAATAATAATAATAATAATAATAATAATAATAATAATAATGAATATGATTATGATTATGATATACTGAATGTTATATATATATATATATATATATATATATATATATTTATTTATTTATATTTATATTTATATACATGTATATGCATGTGTGTGTGTGAGAGAGAATAACAACAACAACAACAACAACAACAACAACAACAACAATAATAATAATAATAATAATAATAATAATAATAATAATAATAATAATAATTATTATTATTATTATTATTATTATTATTATTATTATTATTATTATTATTATTATTATACAAATACATATTTATATTTATATTTATATTTATATTTATTTTTTCACTTATCCCACATCGGTTGGAGAAGTAAGGAATGGAGCCTTGAGGCTCCTATAAAAGGAGCATCAAGACTCCATAATTTCAATTGCAATGCTCATCCTCTAGGCAAGCTTGCAATGCCGATCCGCTAAGCATGCAGATGGGCAGACTACTTAATTTAGGAGAAGGCTCCATAATTAAGGAGTCTTATACAGTTATTTTTTTTTATTTACATACACTATATATATATATATATATATATATATATATATATATATATATATATATTTATTGATAAATTGATAGATAAAAATTATAATTAATTAAATATATACATTTATATAACACATTATATTTATTAAATAAATATGAATATTATATAATGTGCAAAGGGTATTTTTGGTATTTGTGATATAAAAGCTATTCCTAAGGGCATGAGAATAGCTAATACCAAGGCCCCCCCTAGGAATGGCTATTCCCCTTGCGAAGGTAATAGCTCATTCCTAGGCATGCTATTCCCATGACAAAATGATCCAACCAAACGATGGAATAGGTCTATTCCAATGAATGTTATTCCATTCCTGACCTATTCCATGAACCAAACATGCCATTAAAGTTTTACTCGAGTATTTTAAAATTTTAGTATCTATATTCTTTTTAAGTTTTGTTATTTTATCTATAAAATAGAGAATTGACAAAAAATTTTCTAAAATTTTCCTCTTCAATTGTTGTACATCGACCCTATTTTCTCTACAAGAACTTGTTAAAATCATTTTTTTTTTAATTTTAAAATTGAAATGTCAAAACTAAAGAAGATTATAATTAAAGAATAAACATTAAAAATAGTAAAAAATCCATGTACTAAGTAAAATTTTAATAGAGTTTAATAGTTTTGTTGCTCCAGGAGATAAAATTGTAACTTTTTTGAAGAGTTAAGGGAGTATATTGCAATGATAAAAAGTTTGAGACTAAAATGAGTAGTAAGAAACAATTAAGAAATTAAAAATACATTTTTTTCCCGACATATATATATATATATATATATATATATATATATATATATATATATATATATATATATATATATATATATTAAATTTTCATATTTAATATATGGATAATGACATTTTTTATTTTTTATTTTTTCATTTTTTATTCTATTGTTCAAAAATTAGAGGACAAGGGCACAGATAGACCGTCCACCCAGTTCCGCTACCAACTCTTACTCAAGTTGGGCTTAATAGAAGCAAGTAATATGTTTTATATTAGTAAAAAAAAAATTGAATTCACTATTAGAATAACAAAAATAAACGAATAATTATGATAATAGATATCAAATATGATAATAGGACACACAATTCTCCAACCAAATCTACCTATATTTTCATATTGTCCGCATGGGAAGCTCAGTTAGTCAAAAAGGTGAAATTTGGAAACAATGATCCGGGAAGGAGCTCGATCTGTGTTCAACTGAGTTATCATGATTTGGGAGAAGAGTTACCATGATTTACATAATTCAGATATTCTATCGGATTTTCTTAGAGTTAGGGATTCAACAACAAAATTATTGTAAGGGTCATTACTCATTACACGCAACTCGATCTAGAATTTAATATGGGTCGGATAGCCATTAACAATTAATATAGGTGTAGTTGGATTTGTTAGAAATTTGGTTTGGCTTTAAAAGCTGTTGAGGCTTTTCTTGTGTGTGAATGAGTTATGTATTGTATCATCATCATCAACGCTCTACACACTCCCACCCACCCCTCTCAAACAATGAATGAAACTCTTCCGTTACAAACTTTACCATATGAGGGTTCACATTAATTAGTATATCAACATTTCTCCGTGCAACGTCATATGCTATTATGTTATATATATTTTCAAAAAATAAATAATTATTCACCTGTATGTAAATCAGCTATCAACTAATTTACGAAACATCCCTCTACAATAATCAGCTAATGCTATTAACTAGTCAAACTCATTAACTCAATCAGCTAACAGTTATTTACCAAAGACCCCTTATATTTATATTATATATATTGAGTATGGTTTATAAGATAAGACTTTATAAATAAACTTCTGATCTCGTAGTTACATTAGCGGTCTACTTTTAAATAGTGTTAAAGAAATGGGTTTAAGAGTACACTTTGTTTGTGGTACAATAAATACACTTCCCGCCTTCTACCAATGCTATACTTCAATTCCACCAATGCCATTCACTTCTCATCTCTGTTTGCAATTACAACGCCCTCTTCTCCACCCTCTACCTCTCCCTTAATTTAATTTCGCATTAAAGAAATCCTCTATATATAATGCCCCATTCAACTACACCAAAACCCATCAACAACCACTTTCTCTTTGTTCTTCCTCAACTCCTAGTGGTGGCGCCGCCGTGTGCAGCTTAGCTTAGTCAATCCCCAGTTTCTTCCACCACCGATCCTTCTCCCGGCAAATCTCCTATCCCTTAAGGTTGGAATGAAATTATTTAATCAAACGTTATTTTTGCATGTGAAAATGTTGTTACTAATAATTTTTGTTTTTGGATTTTAATTTATAAAGCAGGATGAACGGCGGGAACGGGCTGAAGCTTGATCTGAAGTTGAATCTGTCGCCGCCAAGGGTGAGCCACCCGATGGTGGTGTCGCCGCCGATCCGATCGTCGACGGGTTCGCCTTCGAGCTCATGTGTGTCGTCGGAGAATCAAGATGACGGCCGCCGCTTTTGCAGCAGCCCGGAGGGGGCGGCGGCGACGTCCATGGTTCTTGTCGGGTGTCCCAGGTGTCTTATGTATGTGATGTTGGCTGAGGGTGAGCCCAAGTGTCCCAAGTGCAAAAGTACTGTTTTGCTCAACTTCTTCTACGATCATCAGAGCAATAACGCCAGGAGGACATGATATGATACTCAGATCGATCATCATCATCATCAGATCAAACTTTATTATCTTATATATATAATATTGGCCATTTGTTGGCCCTAGCTTTATAGGAAGAAGTAGGCAATATGGGTAAAGCGGCTATGGTGTATTGTAGGTGCGTTTAAGGTTGCTGGCGTTCATGTCTCTCGGAAAACAATGAAAATGGCCGCTGAAAAGTTTCCCAGAGTTTTCTTATGAGCTATGGACATGGGAATTGAAAGAAGAGTAGATGGATTAGTTCATTTAATTTTTTTTCCCCTTCTGCATTTTGGTAGTATCACGCTGAAGCAAGTTACTGGACTTGACCCTCCCTCTGCCTATCAGTCTTAACTGTACTTAAAATTTGAATTCATAATTATCATTAAGTCAAAAATTATAATTAATATAAAATAACAAAGACTTAATTTTATTTTCTTATAAAGTGTCATCACATTTTTAAAAAGACAAAATATTGGACTTCACCACTCCTAATCATAAATTAAAAGACTTGACATTTTATTGATGTCTCACCAACAAATTTCAATGCCTTCTTGCTAACGTTCAGTTTATTACTATGTAGTTGGTAATAAAAGCGAAAAAACGGTGGGGAGTAGAAAAAGAAAAATTATTTATTTATCGAAAACTTCGAGAAAACTAAGGTGTCTGCTGGGTAGATCTGTGGCATATTTCTGCAATCTGCAACTAGAATCGTAGAAAAGAGACGTCATCTGGTTATGGGCTTATGCCTTTTGTAAGTGGAATTTGGAAACTTAAACTTACCCACATACCCAAATTACATACTGAATTTCCTGACAATTTTAAATGTCCCCCACATTGTACGGATCACTTAGTAGGAAATTGCGTTACTATATTCGCCAGAGTACATACGGAGTATTATTATTATTATGTAAATTTGCGAAATCAGTTGTAATGTAACTATACTAGTCAGATTAGAAGCAACTGACAACTTTGCTAATATCTAGCCAGGATCTCTCAAATGGAGGGGAAAGTGCAAATTTTTATATCTTACTTCCTTTTTTTTTTTTTTTTTTTTTTTAAACCACATTGTGGTTCGAGTCTTTCTCTGTCCGTTTAACGGTCCAAGTCCACCCGGTTCACTCCGAGAGGCACAGAAGCCTGTCCAAAAGGAATCATCACTTATGAGAATCAACCCGAGTTATGCCGGAATTCTCCCTATAAAAAGAGCTCATTTGCCACTTGAAGCTACCCTGTTGAGTTTTTATATTTTACTTCCTTGTTTGAACTTCTCAACTCCAACTATTGAATCGTTCTCAATCTCCGGCCACTTCTCTAGATCCTTCATTCCAACTTAATATAATATATACATAACAGTTGTCTAATAAAGTCATTAAAAGATTACAATAATGCCACCGTATGATTTCAGACTTCTATTTTTATAACAACACTAGTAAATTACTTGATAATTTTTTTAATTATATATTTAGGTAATAAAATTAAATATAAAATTATAAATAAATTTAATAAATTTAATGTGTACATTTTTTTTTTTGAGTTAATATCCAAAATCGTCCTCGACTATAGTGGTTTTTCTCAATTTCGTCCTAAACGACTTTGGTGACCTAATATCGTCCCAGACTTTTGTGTTTCGCTCAATATAGTCCCAGACTTTTGTGTTTTTGCTCAATTTAGTCCCTCATTTGTTATTATGTCCATTTGGTGTTAAATAAATAGACAATTCAGTAATTTTAATATTGGCATCTCTTTACTCATAGACATGTGAATTGCGAAATCTTTTTTTTTTTTTTTTTTTTTTTTTTTTTTTTTTTTTTTTTTTTTTTTTTTACGAATTACTCCCAGAATTACTTCTAAAATTGCGAATATAAAATTTGATTTGCAAGTCCGGGAGTAATTCTGGGTGTAATTCGTACAAGAAAGAGGAATTTCACACTTCACAAGTTGAAAGTAAAGACAGATCAATATTGACATTACTGAGTTGTCCCTTTATTTAACACCAATTTGACGAAATAACAAATGGAGGACTAAATTGAGCGAAACACAAAAGTCTGGGACGATATTAGGTCACCAAAGTCGTTTAGGACGAAATTGAGAAAAACCACTATAGTCGAGGACGATTTTGAGTATTAACTCATTTTTTTTTTAAATCAAAGGAGTTTGTAGTGAAGCTTGAAAAACTGGTAGAAGAGGAGTGATTTGAAAGACATTGAAATTGGGCTTTATGTACTATGATTTGAATGTTCTGGGAAAGAGAACATTATGCCGGGTGGCATAGGTTTTTTATTTGGTTACCAATCTATAGTTTTGATGCAGTAGATTAACAGGGGCGGAGGGGACCCTACTCCTCCCACTTCACCCCTTTATATATATGTATGTATTTTATATATATAGCATGAAATATTATATAAAATCTATATTTATGTTGAAAATATTAATAGTTTGAGTAGTTTAGTTTGTTGAATTTTAAATTTTATGTTACAAAAGACTTATGTCATGAGTTCAAATCTCATTAGCAACACTTTTAATTATTTCTTTCTTTCATTTCTTCACAAGATAAATTAAATATTTTTAGTCTACTTTTTATGAATCATTTAATTAACAAATTAAATGCTCTTTTAGTCTAGTTTTTATAAATCATTTAATTAATGTATGTAGTATACAAGTTTATAATATACTTTATTGTATTCGAATTAATTTAGAAAAATTGATCTAATTAAAAGAAATTAAAATATATACTTTATTGTATTCGAATTAATTTAGAAAAATCGATCTAACTAAAAGAAATTAAAATTTAAAAGTATTTATGAATATATTATTATTCAAATTATTTTATCTAATTGATTATGTTTCATATTTTCTCATAAATATATTGTAATTTATAATGTATTTTGTATTTTAATCTTATTATGGTTGTTTGGTATTTTATCATTGACATTTCTAACGTCATCTAATATTCGCCCCACCCAAATGATTTTCTGGATCCGCCACTGAGTAGATATTATGATGATGACAATTATATATGCCTGGTGGCCGACCGGCTAGGGAAAACTCCTAAATGAATAGGAAAAGATAACTGAAGTTATTTCGGTAAAAAAAATTTTGTCTAAAAAATTGTATAGTACAACTCTTATAACATAGTGCAGAGGCGGACCTACGGTGGGGTGAGTGGGGCAGTGGGGTCAGCTGCCCCCACTCACCCCACCCCCACCCCTTATATAATCTTTGTATGTATATGTGTATATATAGTACACTTTTTAGTATTAGTAGTGTAAAATAGAGAACTTTTAACAAAGTGTAGCTTGGTCTAGTTGGATGAGCGCGTGGGTGGACAAAATGCAGGCCAGGGTTCGATTCTCCTCTCTATCTATTGTCAGCATTTCTTTTTCTTATTCACACTACCTTTTCACATTTTCACTATTATTAATAGTACATATTGCTTCAACACAATAATATAATCTTCATTTCTTTTTCTTATTCACACTACCTTTTCACATTTTCACTATTATTAATAGTACATATTGCTTCAACACAATAATATAATCTTCATTTATATATTAATGATGAGATGTGTAATTTATAATGAATCTTTTATTCAAATTATTTTATCAAATTGATTATGTTCATATTTTGTTATGAATATTTTTATTTTCTTATTATTCCACTATTAACACTACCTTTTCACATTTTATTTCACTATTATTAATAGTACATATTGTTTCAACACAATAATATAATCTTCATTTATATATTAATAATGAGATGAGATGTTTATCCAAAAAAAAAAAAATGAGATGTGTAATTTATAATAGATCTTTTATTCAAATTATTTTATCAAATTGATTATATTCATATTTTGTTATGAATATTTTTATAATGTTTTGATGTGTTTTATAATTTTCTTATATCCAACATTATTTATGGATATACTTTTTAAGTGTTTCATTTTTTTTTTCTAATTATCAATTTTGCTAATATTTTGCCCCCGCTGCAAAAAATTCCTGGGTCCGCCACTGACATAGTGTATAAATTTTGTTTACAAAAAGGGACGTAAGTTAGGCGTATAACCTATATTGAGACTTAAATATATTATTAGTTATATGCTTTTTATTCCCTTAAAAAAATCCATCCACCCTCACCCCGTCCACTTGAAATTCATACTAACATGGCTTATAACAATTGGATGTCACGAATTTGGATGCCACTAACTTATTATCAAAGATAAAATCATCAAAAAAAAGTGTACATCAAAGACTAACTTATTATCAAAGATTATAGGGGATGACTCACGTGTGAAGAGTCTCCCAGATGAAAGATGTGGTAAGAATTGAGCCGTTGATCTAATCTAGATCAACAGCTCAAATTTAAAAAAAAAAAAAAAAAAAAAAAAAAAAAAAAAAAAAAAAAAAAAAAAAACGTGCTCAAGTGTTTGAACCCAATTCTAGAATGTATACAACGTTGCAATCCGATCCTCCTCTCTGGTTCTAGACTTGACGGCTCCTCTGTAATTTTGTTTTGATCGACTAAGGGTTATGGAAGGGGAGAGACTGAATTAGGAATTTGATTTTAATTGTTCAAATATAAAATTTCGTAAAGTTAGCGACGGATTTTATATTTAAAAAAAAAAAAACCCTCATATATATTTAGCTACAAATTAAAAGGTCGTCGCTAAAATTAACAATCAATTTCACTTCTAAATTTAGCGACGATTTGATCACCCGTCGTTTAATTATTTTAAAAATAAGCCGACCTTATAAATTTTGTGACGGACTTCACAAAAATATAAATGCAAAAAAAAAAAATCTATCTTGAATATTTAGAGACAGAATCATAAATCCGTCGCTAACTTGTAGCGACAGAAATATTTCGTCACAAATTCGTCGCTAAATATAGATTTAACCCAAAAATAAAAATCTGTTGCTAAGTTGTCACTATTCCGTCGCTAAATTCCTTCTATCATTGTTGAACTAATGCACCTTAAGGGTCAAAATTATGCACATTAAGTTTCAAACTGACGCACCTTAAGTGTCGTATTGACGCACCGTAAGTGATGCACCTTAAATTGTCAAACTGATGCACCATAAGTGTCACACTGATGCACCATAAGTGTCACACTGACGCACCTTAAGGGTTGAATTGGCGCACCTTAAATGTTAAAATGGTGCATCTTAAGTGTTAAAATGACAAACTTTAAGTGTTAAAATGACGTACCTTAGTGTTAAAATGATGCACCTTAAGTGTAGAACTTATGCATATTAAGTGTAAAACTAATGC